CAGACGGAGTGGGTTTGTGATGATCTTGAGGAATGAATGAGAATTGATTGGATTCAATGGCGAGGCCGACGACGGGGAAGCATACTTCTGCAACTACAAGATTGATTTTGGGATGCGTCCTGCTCTTGGTGCTTGCTCTTGGTGCTGATTTACTCTGGGCTTCTTCTTCTCGATTCTATTCTTCTCTCTCCATCTCCAACAATTGGTCCGCTGGTGACTCCCCTTCCACCACAATAATCCTGCCACAGCAGCAGCGGCCCCCTTCCCCGCCCCACAAGGCTAAGGTATTTGCTCTTCTGATAAATCCTGTTCACACTTTCTAAACTAACTTATTGAACCTCAAAACTACATTGTCATTTCTTCAACAACTCAACTTAACTGACAATCTGATTGCTTTGCATGTTTCTGGTTTTCGACCCCTGTAAACTTGCTAGCTTAGCTTTTGCTTATATGGCTATGTTCCGAATTTGTTTCCATCCCTTGGTTGGCAATGAAATTCTTGGAGGTTTAGCTCCTCAAATTTATGATTCCCTTTCCAGCTTAATCGAATTCAATGGGACAACTCAGAAGCTGCTAAGGAATTGAGATAGTTTCTGTTGGAAAAAAGTGCATTATATTGCGAAATCATTAAATTTGGGTTTTTTTTTTTTAATAAATAATTCAATGATATGGATAATTTGAGAACTTTTGAGCTCCTGCGAGCTTGGTGAATCTTGATTCTTATTTGCTTCCATTAGCTCGGATTCTTTTTTTTGCAGGGTCTATTCGGTTCAAGTATTTGAAGCTTTATGTTTATATTTAAGAACAATTGATTTGTTCGATCAATTAGTAAATGCAGCAATAGGAGTTTCTAGATGCTTCAATGTTTAGGATCTGAAAATTAGCAATCTTTTTGCTCTATATGTAGGGAAAAACTGTTAAAGATAAGAATCAAGGTGTTACACCAGAGAGGGTCTTATCAGCAACTTTTGCTGACTTACCTGCACCAGAACTGAAATGGGAGAAGATGGCAGATGCACCTGTTCCTCGTCTAGATGGGGCTGCGATACAGATTAAGAATCTTCTATATGTCTTTGCTGGTTACGGCACCATTGATTATGTGAGGACATGTTTTCATCTCCCGGGATATTTGGTTGTTTGCAGTTAGCTGGTTAAATACTTGAGTCGTCCTGAAAAGTGTTTTAATTTATATTTATGTTTCCAGTTTTATTTTGCTTGTTCTTCCTTGTAGCCTGCATCATCATACATCATTTGGTGCCTTCCGTTTCCATCTTTTACTATATGACCTTCTGAAATCAGTCTTGATAAATTATTTTTTTCTTCCAGTGATCATACCAATCACATAATCTCGTCTTCTACTGTGCCTGGGACTGTTTTTGCAAGCTATATCTTTTTTAATTGCGCCTGAGATGCCATTCTTTATGTTCAACATGCATACTTTAGAATTACAGTTCTCATCCTTTTCCTTTCTTTGTTCACATTTCTACTTACAGGTGCATTCACATGTTGATATATACAATTTTACGGATAATACATGGGGAGGAAGATTTGACATGCCAAAGGAAATGGCACATTCACATTTAGGAATGGCAACAGATGGGAGATACATATATGTTGTCACTGGACAGTATGGTCCTCAATGCAGAGGACCTACAGCTCGGACTTTTGTGCTTGACACTGAGACAAAGAAATGGCAAGACATGCCCCCTTTACCAGTTCCAAGGTATATGCAAATGTTAAATTATGCCTAAAAAAATTGGCTGAAATTCACCTAGATCTGATCTGTCCTAGACACCTAAAGTGGAGGCTATCTTGATTGTGAACGGAAATTCACCAGAAACTTTTGCTGATGGACTGTCTTCCTCCTAACCAAAAGACATCTTTTTGAGGTTTCATTTGTGCAACCATATCTGTCTTTCCTAAGGAAAATCAGACTTGGATTTAATCTTGGTCAATTTGGTGGCTTTTGGAGTGAAATAGTGAATCATACAAAATTATGCTGGTTAATTGAACTCAATAAAGATCACTAATTAATTACTACTTTAGAGAATCATAATGTTTTCTTCACCCTTTGTCACATGAGTCTATTGGCTATATTTTATCCCTTTAAGTCTGACTCAAGCTTTCGTCTCGCTTTCTATGAGTTGAGGATGTTCATTTTGTTTTTCCTCCTTCTGAAAATCTGATAATCCAAATAGGTGTTATATTCTAAACTCTTTGCTGTATGAAGTTAGGTACAGAGTAGCATGCAAGAGGACATGCCAGTTTCTCCTTTAAAAAAATTTATGCTTGCTTTTGATATCTTTTGAATTCCTAGAACCAATGAAAAATCGTCTGTTCTACAATTTCTATACTTTCCTTTAGACTGGCTGAAGTTTAACATGATATACATCTTAGATTTTATTGCTGTATCATGTTTGACATTACATGGATGTATTGGCTTCTGCTCCTGTACTCTGTTCTTGAAGTCCTGTTATTCACACAAACAATCTCCCATTTCCTGAAGCAAGTTCTGAAAGACTTCCTTTTCTTGGTTGATTTGTAATTTAATCATGTGGCCTTGCTGAGAAACTGGAATTCATTCATTCCATGTGATCAGAAGAGTTATTATTCTGGTTGCTAAGTTTACACAACTGATTTCTCTAGCAATACTTGGCAATTTTTTGCTAATACTGTAAGTTCAGGTGGTCCAATTTAATCTGTCTCATGGAGTTCATTATTTCTTTTGTAGTTCAGACTGAGTTAAGACTTCAACATGATTGTTTTCAGGTATGCTCCAGCTACCCAACTTTGGAGAGGTAGACTCCATGTGATGGGTGGCAGCAAGGAGAATCGACATACACCAGGATTAGAGCATTGGAGTCTTGCTGTTAAGGATGGGAAACCTTTAGAGAATGAGTGGAGGAATGAGATACCTATTCCACATGGTGGACCTCACAGGTTTGTAGATATGTCCTCTGGATGAGAATGCTATTTATGCAGTTGAAACATGGAAATTGTTTACCTTTCATTAAATGAAATTAGCATATTCACTTAAGATTTGAACTCTTTGCAAATTCCTCATTAACATTTTATTTTCTAAAATTTAAATGTCACACATATAGGGCCTGTATCGTTGTTAACAATCATCTTTATGTTATTGGTGGTCAAGAAGGTGATTTCATGGCAAAACCTGGATCGCCTATTTTCAAGTGTTCTCGCAGGGAAGAGGTAAGATGATCAGGATGACTTTTCTCTCATAGGACCAGCTTTTATGAGCTTCAATAATGAGACCTCTATATCATTTTAATAATAGTATGATTTGATAAAGATTTTCAATGTCATTTTCCTTTTTTTGGTTTGTGGAAATTATGTAAAACTTAAAGAGTTTCCTTCCTTTACTACCATGTGCGAATTGCTTTTCTTGCTTCATTTTATTATGTTTGATCAAATGAAATGGTTTTAGTGATTCAATATCTAAATATTCTTGCAATTCAAACATTAAGGGATTTTTTTTCACAGATTTCTGGAATTTGACAAGGGATGATCACCCTGCCCAATCACCCTTTTCTTAAAAGGTTAATCGTTTGAGATTATCTTCTGGGTTGTATCCGTATTGATTAAACATCACAACACCTTGGGATTATTTGCTGGGGAGGAAGTGTTTTACTAGAATTATGTCGTGCTGAAAAACTGTTGCTGATGGGTTGTCCTATCTGTTGATAGTAGGATTACAAAGTTATTGCTAAAACTCATAAAATAACTTTCCCCCCTATATAGGTATATAAATTCAAACATAAATTTGATTGTTTATCATGTGACCATGCAAAAAAATTGTGGCAGATGTCTCAGTGATTAGTCTCTTATGACCTTGCATGTTTAAGTGATACAGATATAATATCAATTATCGAAATGACTACAGGGTTCTTCTATATACATGTTACCTTATAATGCATTAAGAGGTTATGTAGTTTCCGCCTCTTTGTAATTGATGAGTATGGAAATTTTACTTCAGTCTTCTTCCTGGAAATTGTCTATTGGGGGTCCTGCATATTTTGCTTCCTTTGTTTTCTCCAAGTTGATAAAATGAACTTTCATAATAGTACTATTATTTACAGTTTCAAAAAAGTTATTCTCTAGTCATGGGGCTTATGCTTTCTCCAAGACGTTCTTGTTGGTGGTATCAATGCCAATGCTTTTTCCTCCTTTTAAAGTCAATATTCTTTTTTTGTTCCAGGTGGTGTATGGTGATGTGTACATGCTGGATGATGAAATGAAGTGGAAAACTTTAACTCCTATGCCAAAGCCTGATTCTCATATTGAATTTGCTTGGATAGTTGTTAACAATTCTATTGTCATCGTTGGAGGTACAACAGAGAAACACCCTGTGACCAAAAAGATGGTTCTGGTTGGAGAAGTTTTTCAGTTTAACCTAGACACACAGGTAATATCTTCATACAACCCTTATAAACTGACCATTGCATTTGGTTATGCATGCACGTGTACATTTACAAGCTCATGTATGTATTGTGATTTGTGAATTTCTCATATGCATTCATTTCAGTGCGCAATTGTAATTACAAGCTAACCAACACAAGCACAGGGATTTTTAAGTTAACTTGTTCAAGTTGCAATGTCATTAGGCTATTTATTTAGTTTTATTTTTTGCACCCATTAGAATATTTGTTCATGTCTCTTTTTGGTGGCCTAATTTAGTCTTTGCCATTAAGCTCAAGTATTTTTGGTTCTGGACTTGCAGAAGTGGTCGGTGATTGGAAAACTTCCTTTCCGAGTGAAGACCACACTGGTTGGTTTCTGGGAAGGATGGTTGTACTTCACATCAGGACAGCGAGACAAAGGACCGCATGATCCGTCACCAAAGAAGGTCATCGGAGAAATGTGGAGAACGAAATTGAAACTGGCTTCTTGATTGTCTCCTGCTAAAGTTTTTTTATTTTTATTATTCTTTGGCAGTATGATTTCTGCCAATCCATCCTTTATTGTGATCAATTTTTTTCCTTCACTTTCTACATTCTGTACTATGGTTTAGCATCATTCATTCTTTCTAATCCTTAGAGGGAGTTCTGCCATGGCAATCTGGGAAACACCATCCGGGAAACACCATCGATAGTCGAAAATCAACTTTCCATTCATTGTGTTACTTGTATAGGTGAATTACCTTACTCAATAGGTAACAGCTCTTTCAACTTTGTTTTTGAATTTTCTCAGATTATGTAATGTGAGTTCTAATTTAGAGTCGGTGGTCTTTGTCCTTCTTATTGATGGGTTGAAATTGTCTTGAAAAGTAAAGATTTTGAGAACGGATGTTGAGATATGTTTGTGCTTTGATTGGATTCAAACCTCCTGTTGATCCCTGTAATCTATTAGTATGTGAAAATGAAAATGCCTCTTAATGTAATGAGGTTCCTCTGGTTGGTTAAAAATAATGTAAAATAACATCATCTGAAAGAATAACACCTTATTGAAATGACTGAAATACAGAAGGAATCAAGAATGTGTCACGATAGGAAAGCACATTGCATTGATAAAGATGTTCATTTGATGACAGGTTATGCAACATGGAAAATCGTCCACGTCTATCACAAGGTTTAGATTGAGATTTTTAACTCGGAATCTCTTATTATTACCGGCTGAGACATCCTTTAGGGGCAAAAGATCCGTATATAAGTGCATGCAAAACAACTTATGGGGCTGTACGTGTTCATGAAATACATGCATTATGATGAACTCCAAATCCTCAATTTTTACAGCTGAAGTAGTAGCTCCACCAGAAAGAGCTCCCCATCAAATCGAAGTCCAGATGATTCAGCAGGGTGAGCCAAGCCATCCACCATTCCACCAAACACATACAAGTTACGCCCTGAACTATCTGCACAGGCTCGATGAAATGATCTGCTGTTAGGCTTATAGCCCTCGGCTTCAAGCCTTCTCCACATATTTGCCTTGGATTTCAATCTACCTGCCTGCTGCCCTCTTACAGATGGTATGGCACTGATATCTAACACCCAAAAGTCATCCTTTCGATGCCTATGTGAATCTTCCCCTCCATAAATTAGCACCAATCCTCCCAACATGAGCAGAGCCGAGTGTCCAACTCTTGGAAGCGAAAATCCTTGTGGTACATTCTGCAACTCATATTGTATTTGTTCCCATTTTGAACAACCCTCAGACATATCCAAGAGCCAAACATCACTGAGCACCTCGTACCCCAATCCTCTCCCACCAAACAGAACTGTTTGAGTTCCACCAATGGATGTCAATGTATGTCCTGATCGAGGAGGAGGTGAGGGATGTGCCACTACCTCAGACCATGCACCAAAAAAAACATTTTCTGAGAGTTCTAAAACCCATGTGTCTCCCAATCTGAGGCCATGCAGCCCTATCCCTCCATGAATAACCATCTTCCTGTTACTGATGCAACATGCTGCATGGGCTCCTCTCGGTGGTGGTGCTATGGAGTTCACATCAAGCAGTCTCCAAGATAGTGTGATGCCAATATTATCTTGGTGAGTTACGAATTGTGCAACCCACGTATCATTGTGACGGTTCCCACGGTCATCAATTCCTCCAAACAGAACAAGATAATTGTCAATTACAACGCATGAATGCCCAAATCTCCCACTTGGAACCCCTGAATGAATCTTCTGCCATCTTGGCATCCTCCTGAAATTATTTCCAAAATACGCCACCCATGTGTCATCAAGATGTCGCCCTAACAGTGAACAGATATTTTATGTTAAAAATATCAGTACTTTGTACACTGTTGGCAAACCAAACCCACATGCACAAATGTAAGGACCCGTTTGGTATGCGGCAAAGTCTTGCCCTAGATTCAACTGCTTAGCTACCCCTAGGTTTTGCTGTTAAGTCTATAGTCGACTAAACCCTTTTTGAGTAGTTATCTTTAGGAATTAATATCGAGAAAATAGGGGTTTAAAAATCCCGGCAGCAACAGTAGCGGTGCCAAACACAACCTTATGAATTTTTATGGTGGTGAATTCTCCTAACTTGTTTGCTGGGGTTGATCATAAAAAAAAAAAAGAAAAAGAAAAAAAGATTGCTGGGAATTCAGATACTCTTATTTTACCACCCCCCCCCCCCATGAAATTAATGAGATTAATGAAGAAGAGTGACTGACCTCCTTCACATCCACCACCAAACAACACCAAATAATCGGACACAAAATTGATAGAGTGCGAAGCTCGGGGACTTGGCACAAGGGAATTAACATCTGGGTGAGAAGAGAGTTTGCAGCAAGATACAGAGTGGAGGAGGGTGAGTTCCTTGTACAACCTCATCCACGGAATAGGGTGATGATGCAAGGAAGACTTGAGTGCATCCATGGATGAGGGTCCCAAGTCTCTCTTACATATGGACTCCCACACGGCATCAGAGGTAGCGATTGAGCTGAATCTCTTGCAAGTCATACCAAAGGAAACAATAGAATCCACAGGAAGGAGAAGCAAGATGGTTAGGAGATGGTCTTGAGCCAAGTGAAGAATAGGGGAGGGATTGGCACTACTACTGGCTGATTCCGCCATGGGAAATGGGTTTGATTTTATGGTTGTGGTGGAGTGCGGGGCTCTGCATTTACAACTAAAAAATGGGTCTGTGTCTGTCTGTCTCTGTTTTGTTGGGATTGTTCGTGTCAGTTATCAATAATTTCATTCGTTGCATATTCTTGACCTTTTCTTTGATTTTTGTCTTTGTCCCATTTCATAATTAACATTGTTATTTACCATTTTCGCCCAATATCACACAAACAATTCCTCTTGGGAAGTTGCTCACTTTCCCGAAAGTGCTGGGAGGGTAATTGCCACCATGTTTGGTTTGCAAGAAAGTCTAAATACCAGCCAGTACCAATATAAAAGGTGAAATCTTTATTTGCGCATCGTATATTATTTTTTTATATTTTTTAATTTTAATCAATATTTTTTATAATTTAAAAGTTTATAAAAAAATCTTAAATTATCAATAAAATTAAGGGTAAAAAAAAGTTTAATAGTTAATTATTAATTTTTTTTATAAATTTTAAATTATAAAAAATATTAACTAAAAATAACAACTTTAAAAAGTGTTAGACAAAAATATATATATATATATATATATAAAATACAAGTAGATAATTTGGCCATTACCCAAACACAAATCTATTGTTTTCTCACTGACAACACTTCTTCTGTTCATACGAATCCTGAAAAGTACACATTCTTTTCCATATCTTTTTTTATCGGTGAGAACATTTCAAAAAGTAAAACTTTACCTAATGAACTCACTCGGGATTTTATTAGTCTCTTTAACATCCTCAGAGAACTGAGTTTTTTCTTCTTTTTTTTTTTTTCTTTTTTGAGCAAGGACAATTTGGAGAGAAAAAAATATCATTCGTGAGATTTAAACACACAATTCAGGAGAAATAAATCTCACTTGATCAAAAGTCTCAGCTACTAAATCGGGACGTGAAAATCCAAAAAAATGAGTTTTGATCAACAAGGAAGGATGAAAGTTTTAAAAATACATGTTAAGGGAACCTGATTAAATTTTCTAAATTCCCATTCCTCAGTCAAATGCAGTTATTCAAACTAGATCATATATGTTGAAAATTTTATACATGATGTCTCTAAGCTTTTCTAGAGTTCTAATTTATAGGTTAAAAGGAAAGCAAATACAGAACGGTGTAACTCAAATCCTTTATTGTCTCACAGTTTATTCTCTTCTGAACAACAAAAATTCCACACATCATGCCACTTCTATTTCTGCAGATTGTGAACTTGCCCTTTATTTATTACTTTCCAAAGAGTGGCCTTGGCCTCCTCTAAAGTTTCAACGCTGTGCCCTTCTTCAAATGATAGCCTCTGAATGTTGAACTGCAAACATAAAAGAGCCATCACAGGTCACAACCAAAGCAGAGAGAGAACAAATTTAGAATGTTCATTGATGAAATTACTACCTGTGCACCTTGACGCACCCTGATGTCAATACCCTTGCTGTCTATTGATATCAGAGCAGCATCATCAACCTCAATTTCAGTGGATAATAGCTCTTTAAGGCGCTTTGAAAATATTGCATTCAGTTTCTACAATAAAAGTAAGTTTACTCAAATAAGCATACAATTTGTATTGATAAACTAGAATTAGAGATAAGGGAAAAAAAATAATAAACATATAAAATATCATCCAATGAGAGGATCTCTAATCTTCACCTTAAGATTTTCCTCATCTCCATCAACTGCAATCTTGTCAGGCTGAAGGGTCTCATATTCCTTCACATCAACCCAAGCAACAGTGCCAAAGCCGCCAATGAAGTATATGTCACTTCAAACAATTTTATAAAATAAAAGCCTTCAGCATAGGTGAGACATCAGAAATTATTTACTAAGATCACAAAGATTAAATCAATCAATTATTAGGCAGGAAAAAGCAATTTATGCAGATAGGAAAAAGAGAAAGAAATGGATATTCATTTATGAACTAGTTATGTTATACCATTGATAATCATACTCACACTTCAGTTAGATATGGTTATATATTATACAGAAACCTAAAATCCCTAGCAGTTTATTACAAAAGAACATACTACAAGTAAGTACATTTTGAATATGCAAGTATATATGGATGACCAATAAACAGACAAATGCTAGAATGAGATTGTCTCTTTGTCCAAACCAAATTCAACATATTCTTAAGTTATTGGGTGAATAAACAGGAACAACAAGAACCAAACATTAATGTGACAAACAACAATACTAAAAACAAAAACCAGAAGATAGCAGTTGGATTTCGACCACACTGGTCTGTGATCACAAGCATACCTTGGTTAGGAACAATATTGTTGCTCTGTGGGATATGTATGGATTCACTCATTATATCTTAACTTACATATGCTTGTTTAGGAACAATATTGTTGCTTTGTGGGATATGTATGGATCCACTCATTATACCTTAACTTACACTTAACAGCCTCGAATTTCAGATAATTCTATGCTAAGTCATACATCTGATTTTTTTCACATAAAGTAGCTATCCAAGACTTTTACCGATTGTCATGTCTGGACTGAACATAGTGATGCAGGAAATTGCAAGGGGTGAAAGATGTACAAATTTTATTTGACCTCTGGTAAAGTGGATACAGATAAGAATCAGTCAGAAGTTAATAAAGATGTAAATTTTGACAAACTTTGAAAAAGAAATTATGTGACACCAAAAACTAGGACATCTTGCTTCTTGTTGATATGCCCATCCATATGTCTATCTTTCTGATAAAGAAATCAAAAGAACCTTTTTAAAAAATTAATTAACACTTACAAGCTGAATCTGCCATTCAATTCAATAAATAAAATTAAAACTTCAAATATTTCCTAATCTCTTTTCCAACAATCAAACCTCTTGACAGACAATGCAATCATTCGTAACAGCATTGAACTATATATATATATATATATTTTTTTTTTTGGCCAAGGCATTTTAATGTAGCATGTGATATCTTTAAGCAGAAAATAGTAAAATAACGCACAAAATAAATTAAAATAAACCATAAAAGACCTTATGTTCTGCATCCTGAAGTAGTAGAAATTTCCCCACTGTTGAGAAGGTCCTTGTTGATGTTTTGCTATGTATAGCTTGTGAGCCCCCTCCTGGCAAGACAACCAGACATTTCATTTGGAGATAAAAGACTATTTTTATAACATCAAGAACAACGGCCAAAGGAATATCTCCAGAATATAAAATTATAAAATTGCAGAAAGGAATACACAAACATGTTATAATAAATCATTATTTTTTAAAATTTATTTAATTAATTACATTATAATTTTTAAAAATAAGGATTAATCAATAACTAATGGTAAAGTCCATATTATATTGTAGAAATAATGAAATTTGGTAATAATTGCTAAAATATTAAAGACTGAGTATTAAATACCTCCAAATTTTTGAGGACTTAAATGATTTTTGAGTATGAGTTCAGGGACTTGAACCAGCACTCTGAGCCCCTTTGAACATACTTCTAGCAGTTCTAGAAGCTAATTTCAGCATTTATAGGGCTTTCGTAAATTTTATCAATGTCTAAAACTATTTATAATTATTTGGGATTCATGTTTTGCCTATACATTAAAAGTGCAGTCAGACCTATGAAATTACTAAAGTACCCTTAATGAAATATCATAAAAACAGTTTCATTATGGGTATTTTAGTAAATTCATAGGTCAAACTGCACCTTTCTGACCCATAAAACACTTTGTCATAATTATTTTATAGAATTTCATGATTCACTACTTCTACAAAAGCTCAACTCAAGTAGCACTTTTACAGAAGCCCCAACTAGCTCAAACAGGTTAAGTATAAGACCAATTTACAAGCCAATGTATGGGACTCAGCCTCCTACATAGAAAAGACAAATAAAAAAGACCTCAAACATTTCATGGAGGAGAGGAGGCTCAAAATAAATAAATAAAATATTCAGAATATTGTCATGTTATTTTTTTGCTTACAGTATCATACCATTCAAAGGTGAGGGGGGAAAAAAAAGATAAACAGATCTTTCAAAATGAAAAACTACCAAAAGAACCTCCTTAGGGGAGACACTGAAAATAGGTCCCCTGCTCCCTACTTCCTTGAGGGAAAACAATGAATTTCAACTGTTTTTTAGCCCATATCCCAAAACAATATCTATAGTTTTTAAAATGGAAAGTTATAACCACCTGTTGATGTTCTGGCAGTGGAACTACATCTCCAAAAATTGTTACCCTTGCATTTGATAAGCCACTCCATCCAGGTACCTACAAGTATAACTTTCAATAAATCCACAAATAGAGAATGAAAGCTAAACCTAATATCCTACCAGAATAAAAAGAAAAATATTGAATAATTAACCTGCACAACAAGAGTGCATCTTGGATCAGCTAACAAGTTCCGTGCGTGTATAGCCAATGGTGAAAACGAAAATATTGGATCTGCAAGAAATATGCAATTTAACTGTATAACTCACTTACAGAAGAAAGTATCTTTATAAACTTTATTAGTTTATCTGAACCGTTTGGCCATAAACAACAAAACAAAGTAATACTTACCTTTCATTTGAGGTTAAAATATAATTAAAAGAACATAACTATGCATTTATATTAGTATTTTCTACAACTGGATAAAAACATTATCAACATGGACTAATACAAACATATCCTTACAGACTTTAGTATTTCTCCAAACAAAAACATATGGGAAAAAAATGGTTCTTATTCTTCTTTTTTTTTCTTTTTTTTTTTTCCTTCCAAGAGAGAAAGCACAGTAATCGGGGCTGATTTACTTGAGATCAAAACAATAGTATAATACAAGAAGGTAAACCATACATTGGCATTGGTATTTTCTATGATGGGGGAAAACAAAATTTAACGATATATTGAAATTTGACTACTTACGACCCATTGAATCAGGTGCAAAATCAACCAGGGAGCCAAAGGGATACCCTTCCCTTCGGTGGTGCATCCGAGACATTACAGTGCACAAATGAGCAAATCTAGCCTTAAATTGCCAAAAAGAGTTACAAGGTTAAAAAACCAGAAAATAAAGTATAAACAAAATCTAATATCTCTTCAATCAGAAAAGACAATAAGATTTTGAAACCAAATAACAGGCTTTACCTGTTCCATCAGATTGCGAACTGCTAAGGCTGGTGGATGCAACCCATGAGCTGAAGTTGCACTTTGCACTCCACCAGATATTGGTGTTCTGAAAAGTCCAGCTCTAGTTCCCCCACCAGCTGCAGTTACATTTGGGATTGTAACATGTTGCTCCACCTTTATTAATTTATCTGCATCCTCTTCATTGCTCTTATTGTGATCTGAATTGTCCTTCAGAACATGAGAGACAGCATCACTACTAATCCGAAGTAGCCAATTCATATATCCAGTTATCATCTATGTCATTCAAAGAGGAGAAAAAAAAAAGAAAAGAAAAGGAATGAATAGCTCCAAATATCACGCTAGAACAACAGTCTGATAAAAAACAGCCTCATTCACACCCTTGCACAATCTTTTTGAACACCCTTGAGCAAAACTGAGCAACTGCAGAACGCCACAATTTCAAATCCCTGACCTTCCCAACTTCCATTAATGAATCCCCATGATTGCCAGAAGATCACGTGAATTTAAAAAACTCCCCTTTATGATGGCTTTGCTTTCCTTGAGGCCATACTAAAGTAGTCTAGAGATATTATAAATAGTTTTTACTGTTCACGTGACATTGTTTCTTAAACTCTTATTTCTCAATCTCCCCTCAAAGTTTCTCAGCCACCAAAAGAGCATTAGCAATTTAGCATATTAAATCCTCAAGTAAAACTTAGCCTATACTTTGTATACATGCCTAAGAAAATGAAATCTTCATCTTTCACACAAACTCCAAATAAAAGAACAGAAATTGCATATTGCAGATACCTTTGAAAAGACAGTATCTCCAGAAACTAAGCTAAACCCACCATTAACGGGTCTTTCCTCATCATTTTCAGTGGGGCCATCACGGGTTTGAGCGTGAAAATGAAGGCCAAGAATATGAGAGCTTTTGCAGTTGAATTTAAGAAACCCAATTCCCTTATTTGGTGATTTAATCGGAGAAGAAGAAGGAAGAAGTGGAGTAGAGGCCGGTAATTGAGCATATACGTCGGGATGATTGGAAAGGATCACTGAACTTGCCAGAGATTCCATCTGGGAGAGAGGAAGAGAAGCTTTTTTGAGGTGGAAAGAAACGAGTTCCGCCTTAACTCAGTGGTCGGTGCTGTGTAAGCGAAGCGGCAGCGCAAAAGTAAGGCTAGGCAAGACAGAACGTTAAGTGGTAAATTATTAACTATGCCCCCAAAGCTTTATGTTATATTAAGATTATACCCCTAAACTTTTTTTTTATCTATGATACCCTAAATCTTTCCTAAAATATTTAATGTATAACTGCCATTACAATATTATGTTATAATTAACCATCCAATTTCTCTCTTTTGTTGGTGTTAGATGTAGATACTTAGATGCTTCTAATACTTCTTTTAAACTAATTAATCATAATTAAATTAAAAAATATAATTACAATATTCTATTTATTTAAGTTTTATTGATATCAAGAATTGAGTTGCATCTTATCATAAGATATTACTTGTTTTAATTTATAAGTCTTGTGATTTTGCATTTATAAGAGAAATATTTATCCATTAATTATAATTATAAGTCATAACTATCATGAATCTACACTTGAAATGCACTTATAGTCATTGATATCATCCCATTTCACTGCATTAAATTCTACCTTCAATAAACTTTTAACTATTGTTATGATTTTCTAAGTGTTTTTTTTTAAATTTCAATTTCGTAGTGCTGGCAATATTTTAGGTGTTCAAACCGGTTGGATCCACTAGTAATTTTATAAGTTAGATTTATAATTTAAGTTTTTAAATAGTGTTTAAAAAAATTAATTTTATTAAATGTATTAATTTAATACAAAAATATACCATTTAACATCGTTTAGAAAAGATTTAATTGTGAGATACTTACTAAAAAATTGTTTCTGAAAACACCCTAATCATAAGTAAATAAATAAATAAATAAATTTCATATGGTCAGTGGATGATAACTTTGATGGAAGAAGACATCAATTATGAGGGTATTGTTAGCATTTTCAAAAAAGTTTAAAGGCATTACAGATGAACAAAGAAAGGTTGAGGGTAAAATCTTATTAAGGTAAAGGTTTTCGTTAGGTTCAAGGGAATTGAGAAGAACAGAAGCAGATTCTGAATTAGAAGAAGAAGATGGAATCGAATTTTTGAAGAGATGAAGATGGAAAGCAGGGGCGAAGTAGGGAAGGCGGTGGGATTGTTGATATGCGGTACTTTGGTGTATTACCACTGCGCCTATCGCAATTCAACTATTCTGTCTCTCGTCTCCGACGTCCTCATTGTCCTCCTCTGCTCCCTCGCCATTCTCGGCCTTCTTTTCCGCCAAATGAACATCTCGTACGTTCCCATAACTCTCAAATTATACTTTGACTAAAATTTTGCATCAATTTCTTGACTTTTAGTGTAGATGATTTGTTTGGTTAATGGGAAACTGTACGAATTAAATGGGGGTGTCTTTTTTCTACGGATTCAATTTAAAAGGCGTCTGTTTTCCGTCCCCAGTAAATGAAACCATAACCCTTTTATGGGTTTTAGTTTAGAAACTGGAAAGTTGAATGCTTGAGCACTTTCTAATTTGTCTTTTTGTGCTTGAATTGTCCTGAAATGGATGAATCTGCTTTGTCTGTTTACAACATAGTTGTGTGCTTTTTCCTTCTTAGCTGTGTCTTATATCATATGAACATTGTAGATTTTCTACAATCAATTATGCTGCTTTACTCTTTCATTATGTTACAATTTGTTATGGTGCTCAAAGATTTTTATGGGAACACTGTTTTGTAGCGTACCTGTAGATCCACTTGAGTGGCAGATCTCTCAGGATACTGCTAATAGCATTTTTGCCTGGTTAGCTAATACCATAGGTGCCACAGAGTCTGTTCTCAGGGTTGCAGCAACTGGGCAAGACAAGAGGCTATTCTTTAAGGTAAAACTGTTGCCATGTTGCTGCTTATGTTCATGTTCCTTTTAAGAGCAGATATCTTTGTGCTTTAAGAATTCTAGTACTACAACTACAATCAACTTTCTTCTATGATTCGAGACAGAATGCATATTTTGATACTTCATCTTGTCTCACATCTCCCTTCAGGTTGTTGTTTCGCTTTATATACTGTCAGCTTTGGGACGGTTGGTATCAGGCATGACAATTGCTTATGCTGGTATACCTTTCATTTTCATCTGTTTCATATTCTGGCACTGACATTAACTGCAATACTTGTCTTTTTAACCAGAACTTAGATAAAGGTTTCAACTAGTTAAATGTATTCTATTTGTTTTTTTCCTTCAGTTAAGTTCCTTTGTTTGTAAATGGGAGTAATGGTAAATAGTATCTTTATTATGCGTGTGAATCCATAAACATTGTCAAATCTTCTAACCTTCCTTGCTGCCATCTCTCCCTTTCTCGCTTCCTCATTATCATAACCTTCTCAGATCATGAATGGAGGAAATGAAGGAAAAAGAAAAGACAAAAAATGCAGGAGAAAGTATAAGTTTCCATTTTTGAGTTACTAAAAGGTCAAGCCGACAAAGATGATGCAGTTATGGAAGAATAGGCATTATTTTAATTTATAATTTTGGGTTTATTTTGTGATATTTATGGACTTCCCATCCATGACATGGCTTCTCAAAATCATAAGGCTAGAACAGGGTCCAGAGTGTATGCTTTCCAAATTCTAGTTAGATATTTTCAGGTAATTTAGCCATGTTATGGTAGATTTGGGAAAATCTGCCTGCAAATTAATATCTGGTGGCTTTGGGGTTTTAAGATTGGATTAGAGTTATTTGCAACTTAAAGAATGAAGCTTCAAATGCAGAGTTTTATTATCTATAAAATTCAAAAGCACCTATCGTATTTGGCCTAGGTTCAGTTTATACAATAGAGCAGCAATTCTCTAAGCTGTTGAAAACAGACATCAAGATTGGATGGTGAAATCAAGGATTAGGAAGCACTTAGGATTATACCAGATTCGCCACACAGTAACTATGGGTCAGCTAGTCATTTGATATTTTCTTATTTAGTTATTTTTGTTTCAAATTGTTATGCCCTTTTTTGAAAACCTAAGTTCTTTCTGAGTTCCTATTTTGATCTGAAACAGGATTATGCTTCTTCTGCCTTTGCATGTTTGCTGAGAACTTGCAGACAATCCAAACATGTTGTTCTCTGTTTCAACGGCAAAGAAATGACTCCGCTGCAGAAGATGATAATTTGTGACTTAAAAAATCCTTCTTTTTTTTGGGTTGATCATATATTCTGTTTTGATACATGTAGTTGTTTATTGTTTCTGTAAAATGAAACTTGTGCTTGAAATCTACGCTACAGGCACAGAAACTGACCTTGTGTGGAATTCACCCGGTGGGACTGTGTTCAATCCCTATCAACCCCTTCCCCATTTCAACCCCTTCCCCATTTCCCCCTCCCCTTTAGTTGTAACAAATTACCTATGTTCAAGAAAAAGGGGATCTTGTGCTTTTGACCAAAGATTTAGTGAATAAGATGAATAATTCAATCAACTAGGCATGTGTCCCTGTTTTTCAGTATTCTTTTCTTAGCACATGTATGGACTTTCAGACAATTATTTGGAGCCTACCGCAAAAGAGTGCTAAAAACCCGGTTCGACCAGCTTTTAAGTTCGCCAAATAGATGCTTAATGTTTCTTTTTATGAGACTGACTATCATGTCGAGTGACCAACAGGCTAGAAATATACACAAGAAAAGGAAGCAAAAATTATAAGGATTCAAAAGGGAACCACTTCCTAAGGTTCATTAGTTCTCTTTGCCAGAATTTTAAAATTGAGAAAAAAAAAAAAAAGAAGTACAAAGACTTGATTAAAATGCATTTAGCAGGTGATGCAATAAGCATTTTGGAATCTGTCAATCGAATTTGGAGAAACAAAATTGATGCTGACCAAATAATTTCCGTTGAAATTGCCTGGGCTATCAACAAAAAGAGGACAGCCCATACTCATCATCAGTTATGAAGAAGATCGGAATCAATCCCCGATCTTTCATACAACCCAGGAATGGAATCACCTCAACTTCCAGGGAAAAGAAATACAAAAGCTCTGGGAAAATTATTCTAGAAGCTCAGGGTCATAGCAAATGTCTCTCAACTAGTAATATATCTTTCCAAGCTTCATAAAACATCCAGGTAATGCCAGAGGAAGGCATAACTTTTAAACAGCTTGCACCCCATCCTCTGTAGAGTCCCAGCAAGCCCTCCTCACGGATGACCTCTGCAAGTGCTGCTGCCATGTGGGGTGGACACTTACCTTTCAAAGCTCCCACCATTAGCCTTTTTCTGGCAACCTCCAAGGGGAAGCTGAGGGTGCTAGCAGTAAAACCTGAGAAATCAACAGGCATATCAAGCACCCCTTATTCAGGTACATACGGATGGTAAAAATAATAAGAATAAAGCAATCTGATTTCTAATCATGGGAAGCTAAGTACAAGAAAAACTGAAATGAAGTCTTATCTATCCATGCAATCACTTCAGACTTCTAGTCAAGTAGTTGGGCAGCAACTTCTATAGAAGTAGTTAGGCAGCAACTTCTACTCAAGTTTTTGACTTTCGAACACCAAATTAAGACTGTTCAGAGGCCCAATCAAGTAGTTGATCTTTTCCTAAATTTATAATTTTTTGGTAATTCTTTTACTAAAAACAGAATCTAGTTTTTGGTTTTTGCTTTCAGAGAGAGAGAAAGAGAGAGAGCAAGCTTGTCTTGGTATATTATCCAGGAATAGAGAAACCGCCACATACAACAACACTACTAAAGCTCAAGTTTCTCACCTGAAAGAGCTCCAACTAGAAGCATCTCTGGACGGTTTAGAGACTTCTTATTCTTTGCTTGGCAGTAGGATTTCTTTATTGTGTCATACATGAAATAGTAACATGTACTGTATGGAAGCATGCCAACCAAAGTAGGTGCAATACCAGCATAAAAGCCACCAATCCCACCATCCTTGTAAATCTTGCCAATTGCAATGCTTAAGTTAGGGTACACGTCACGACTTACAGTTAACCTATCCTGTTATTACAAGAAAATAATAAATTGATAGGTAAAAACCTAAAATAGAAATGTTAGACTGGAACATAATTAAATGTCTTCAAATTGTCCCACTGTGGATCAATGGTTATCTCAAAAAATAACATATAACGGTTACAGATCAATGAATACTCAAAAACAATAACTAAAATAACAAGTCAGCTTGATCTCAAAAGTTATTTTTCCATTGAAAGGGGAACTAGCACATGATTCAGTTACCTTTAAAACTTCAAGAGGATGGCATGCAAGTGTGCTAACAAACCCAGCAGCTGCACCAGCCACAGCCACTGGAGAAATCCAAGAGAGAGAAAAGTTCAGACTAACATGACCAATTTGCACCTTTGGACACTCCATCTGGCTCCATTTCTCTTGTGCTGATGTCATGGTTCGCTTGACACACTCAAATGTTCCAAGTTCAATTGCTTGAGTAGGGATTATACGAAGCATATTGATCCCATTTCCAGCCCACAGTCCTTGCCAACCTTGCTCCTCAATGATCTCAAAAAAACTGCCGGAAATGTTTTTGGATCCAACACCAACCACCATTCTTGTCCTGCATATGACAGTTATGAATCAGAAGATAGTTCCCAGACAGCATAAACTTACTAGCTTTACTTGGATGACAGTTATGATGTGATAGCAAAGGCAGTTCCTCAATTAGTTGATTCTTTGTGAGAATTTAACTTCAGGGAAAAAGCCCACAACCAAAATGATGCTATCAAGTTTATCCATCACTAGAATGACACTAACACTTTGACCACTCATCAACAAACCTAGATTAAAGCAAAAGAGTTTTGAACATGCACAGAAAGAAATGCACAAGCACAAAGACAAGTGGATGTAAAAAATAGAGGAAACTGGCGCATTACAAAGATAGGTTGAGAGCAATAGGAAGATTAACCACATAATTACAATAGAAGCCCTCCAACAGAAACTCGTGTCAGAATTAAAAAGGCACTAACTGGATGTATACTAATGTAATGCAAAACGAGATGCAAGAGATATAATGGGAAAAAAAAATAATACTGTAATTTACTAAAAGCCAATATACAACAAAGCATGAGTCAACCTGATGGTCTCTAAAGGAGCAAGAACAGCTTTGGTCATAGCCCCCGCTAAAGCTCCACTAAGAAACTCACCAACTTCTCTAGTCCTCAAGCAATCCTGATCACATCAAAGAATAGTTTTGAGAAACAAGCAATAATCTTTTCGCCCCTGCTGATTGTGGATCAGAATAGCTCTTCAAAATACGAAATCAATTAGAAAAAAATCAGAAGCCAACTAGACTGGCCTTTTGTTAAGTAAATTCCCTAACCACAAAGAGCTGGAAAGGCATGAAGACCTGTTTCCTTTAATTTGACTTACATAATCTTTGCTTTACTGGAAAACCAATCAAAGGCTAACCATCTAAAACTAAGAATTTTCTCTACTCTCATTAACTCTTTTTTTATGTCAAAAAAAGAACATTAAAGTAAGAACCCAACATAAAATCGACATTGTCAGCATTTATAATGATTAAAGTGAAATTTTAATGTTTACAAGAAGAAAATACTAAAATTTAGCTTATAATTACTATATCCAAAGGTTTTCCATTTTCTAAACAGCTAAACAAAAAATATGTAAATTCATACATTCCATCCATTTAGATTTCTCTTGAAAAAAAAAAAAATCAAGTTATAAATATGAAAATTAATTTAATTTAGCAAAACATGTTTTCACACTTCATTATGGTAGAAATAAAAATAAATGAAGTAAAATGGTGCTCAGAAGAAGAAAAAAAAAATTGGGGCACAAAATGAAGAATTTTCTCCGGAAACAAACAATCACTAACAAGAAAATAAGGAGAGAGAGAGAGAGAGAAAAAAAAAGAAGCTTACTTTAAGGGCCATCCCGAAATCGGGAAGCTGAAATCGGATCTCGAAAGGGGGATGAACTGGAGGAGGTAAAGAAAGCTTGTGGAGTTCGTCGAGATCCTTGGAAATAACCATGGCCATGTTGCCGTAAACCTCCCCAAACACCCCGTGATTCCTCTTCTGCGATTGAAAATTCATGACTGTTATTAATGTAATGCAAAAATCAAAAGCAGGAAAGAGAGTTCCAGACGATCCGTATATATGCAGAAACGGAGAAAAGTAGAGAGAGTGCGACGGAAATTGACGTACCTTTTGGGCCATGAGATATTTTCGGTGGCTGGAGCGGAAACAAAGAGAAAGAGTATGGAGTCTATTTTGGAGGGATTTGGAGTTTTGTTTTTGTTAGGGTTTTGGTTTTTTCAATTTTAATTTAGGCGCTTTATGGTCGTCTGGGACCCGGCCGTCGTCACCGGTCTATGCTTGCCGTTTGTCTCCGGTTGCGGCCAATCTTAGCTCCTACCTTCTGGCTGTACGGACACGCTTCCCAGCTGCCATCACTATGACTCAACTTTGGGGTGCATTTTGTTCATGGCATTGGAAATTTTTAACATCATAAAATTGGGGAAAAGGCAAATGACAATCAAGGGATTTGAGCCATGGAGATGGTCAAGGAATTAGATACACCTTTACCACCGTATTTAGACTTTAAAGTTTCAACGCCGGGTGGCTAGTAATGTGCAATAAAATTTTTGGCCATGTTTGAATTTTTCTTTTCTTTAAAATTTCCTTTTGTTAAGAAAAGGAAAAAAAAAAAAAAACAAAAAAGGAAAAGACTTCAAAGTTCAAACCATGTTTTTGGAAAGTTGGTGAATAAAGGTGTATTTGGTTGCATTGAATTATAGGCCTTTTCTTCTTTTTTTGGGTTAAAGTCAATTATAGTTCTTCTACTTTCCTTTTTCGTTCATTATCATCCTTATACTTTGAAATCGTTCAAGGATCTCCTTCTACTCTCCCAATACGTACTACCGTCCTCTTTCTACTTTCAATTTTCATACTAATTACCTCTCTCAACTAAGGTCGCTACTAACTTTTGTAGTCAAACCTCACCCATTCATTAATTTATTATTGTTTTATGAATTTCAATTGTAGACCTTATAAGTTTCATATCACTCATTATATCACTAGTTTAGATATTTTCTTTGAGATTTATAAAAATAATATATACACAATTTCTTTTTACCATTGTGGAAGTTACATTTTTAAAATTATCTACCAAAAGATAAATTTGAAGGTGTAAAAATTTGATTTTGAAATACCCTAATTATAAAAAAAAAGAAAATAAAGAAAAATAATTCTTGAAATAGACTATCATATATTGATCAATGGATTTATTTTTTAATTGCGTTAATCAAATTTATTTTGTATAAATAATACAATAAGAGAAATCATAAAAGAATATATTAATTTATACGTTACAATAATTATATAAAGTCAAATAAGGAGAGCTAAGCATTCAATTTGGATTATCCATATTGAACTGAATTTTTGGTTATCCAAAATAATTTTGGATAAGATTTCAATACCCAATTCAAACCTAATTTTTAATTCAGTTATAATTTTGGTTATTCAAAATTATTACTTAAATATATCATTATTCTTCACTTTTTGTCATAAAAATTTTTTTTTTATTTTGATTATTTCTAGTCTTATTCATATTCTTATATATAAATTTGACTAAAAAGCGATTTTTGTCCAAAAAAATTTCACATAGCACAAAAACTAAAATAAAAAATAAAATAAATTTATACTAAAAAATTTTAGATAATTTCAAATAATTTGATGTCTCATATTGATTTATTGTTGCATGTTTCTTTCTACTAACATTAGATCTAAATATTCTGATATGTCTCAAATAAAATAGTAGCATCTAAGTCAGCTAATGATGTCAAACTAATAAGTGTTAAGAAAATTTTGGGCAACAACAAGATAATTGTCATTTGATAAGCTACCAAAAGGGATTATCAGCATGCATGTTGTGGTGTAGGCAACTTTAGCAAAAGCAAAAAAAGGTATTCTTATACTAATTGCTCTAGAATGCTTAGTTTGATTTTGGTGATTGACTAATATTCTAGAATTCTATTGTGCTAAATCTTAAATTAGGTTTTTCTATTATTTTAGTAAAAAAGAAAGTGGATGAACCACCCAGGAAAAACTTATGTTGTGTTAGACACTGCAAGTGTATTTGATACTTTGGTAGATAATCTTAATTAGAATTAAGATTAATTATAATTAATTATAATTAATTTTTGTACACTTCCAAATTAATTCTTTGATAAACAATCTTAAAAACATAACTTTTACATTGGTAGAAATAAATTGTATATGCATTATTTTCATAAGTCTGGGGACAGATCTAGGTTGGTGACATGGTGGGTGATATGAAACTTATGGAGTCTATAATTAAAATTCATCAAAAAAATAATAAATTAATAAATGGGTAAGGTTTAATGGCAAATAGTTAGCAGTGGTGTTTGTGTTAGTAAGGTGTTAGTAACGAGCGCTAGATGAGAGAGATAACTAGTATGAAAATTGAAAGTGGAAGAAGGACACTAGCATGTTTTGGGAGAGTAGAAGGAGGTCTTTGAACGATTTCAAAGTATAAGGAGGACAATGAATGAAAAAGGAAAGTAGAGGGACTATAGTTGGCTTTAACCCTTTTTTAAACATTAGGTAAAGGGATTTACAAATATTAGTTTATAAGATAATTTTAAATTGTTAAATAATAAATATAAATTATTTTATTGATTAATAATTATTTTTAACATCTAAATTAAATAAAATTTACGTTATTTTGAAGAGTTGGTAAAAGAAATGTATAGAGTATATAGTATAGTATTTAATAAGGAGTTGTTGTTACTATAGTATATTTCTATGAAAAAAATATGAGTAGGTGTGAAATTTTCTCACCTTGTGGGAAATGAAAGTGATACAAAAATGTCAAATTTATCTTTTATTTATTTATAGTGTTGTGAGAAATTTTTAAGAGAGATAGGCTAAACCAAATAATTATAATATGAAATATTATAAATTATTGCAAATTACTCCCATTCAAGAATAATATTTTTATTTTGACTTTTAGCTTTTAAAACAAAAGCTTTGATTGAAAATTCAAAATAGTGTATAAATTATAATTGAATTTTTGGGCATTCCAATAACTCATCCTAATATTTCAAAACAAAGAAAAAAATTTAAAATTTTTTTACAAAAATGTTATAACTGTAATGTTATATAATATTATAAAATTATAACATGATATATCGTTATATAATAAGTTTGTTATATAATAATTTATTTACTCATTTAATATTATATTAAATTTATTTAATATCATATCAAAATTATATATTTTAAATTTTATTTGATATTATAATTATAATAATATTATCAAAAAAAATTTATGGTACTCTAACGCATAACCTTAGAAAGTGCGTTTCCTCCATCCATTTATTAAAGCTTTTTAAATTAAAATATTTTTGTAACACGAGAAAAAATAATCTTAAAATCAATTCAACAGGAAAAAAATCGTGAGAAATAAACTTCGGAATTTATAGGAGGAATTGAGGAAAGGGAAAAATCAAGTGGAGCCCAAATGCCGCGTGGTGCACTTTTTTTTTTTAAACTATCTTTAGATACATTCATACCATTTTATTATGTGGACCAGTCCTTTCCTAGAATCTTCAAAGGGGAAACAGAGAGTTGATAGCTAAAGTTCATGTCATTAATGACCATAAAAAAAAAAAGTTAGATGCCACTTTTTTCTCTTGGAAAATAGGCAATGGGTCAGATGCCACTTGTGTAAAAAGTTTCGCTGGCTTCATTATCCATTATGACTTGCATTAATATTACTAATAATGTTAATTATTTAAATAATTTAATGATAATTTATTTTCGTTAAAAATAAGATATTTTAAATTTAATTTGTATAATATATAGATAAAATAAAATAAAAAATAAAAAATTATTATTATTTTTTTATACAACCAACATAAATATATATATATATATGCACATATTACTAATAATAAAAGGTACCATCTTGGACCAAATTAATCTTCATTTTCTCCCTCTTGACTTCTAAATTGGATGGAGATGTAGAAGAAAAAAATGGTAAGGAAAATGAAAAGAAAGCTGTCTCTAATTATTACAAGTCCAACCAACAAAACAAAGACTTTGAAATTGAGCACTCCATTCACAAAAGTGGGGTGTCATACTCACATAGGTGGGGTATAATTTTGGAAAAACATGAAAAAAAAGTGGGCAAGGGGCAGTGGTAGCCCATACCAAAAAGAGAAAGCTGGTAAGCTACGTAAGCATGTTGAGTGAAATTTATAAATATTTTAATTTTTTGATATTATTTATATTTCATAAATATAAATTTTTTAAAAATATTTATATTTTTTAATTTTTTTAATTTTAAAAAAATCTTTAAAAAAATCTTTAAAAAAATTTTAAAAAATTTTACATTTTTACTTTTTATAAAAATTTTTTTACTCATTTCTTACTTATCTTTTTATATTTTTAAAAATAACTTTTAAATTTTATCTCTAATAAAAATTTAA